CCTCCCCTCCCACTCCTCTCTCCACCTCCACAGCAAGCCAAGAAGAAGAAGGTCGAGACCCTGACTCCGGCCGAGCTTGACGTCGATGTCGCCCCCCGCCTGGAGACCACCCGCGTACGTCCTGCTCTCTCTCCCGTCACACATGTTGGTGGATCTTGTGTCCCTCCTCCCCACTGAGCCTGACCTCCTTTCTCTCTCCTCCTCCTCCTCCTCCTTCCCCCCGGCCGCCCCCCTGTCTGAAATGCAATTTCCCAGGTCGAGGAGCCCGCTCCCCGCCAGGGCGGCGGCCGCGTCGCCGATGTCGCCGAGCTTATTTCCAAGCTCCGTGGTGCCGGTGCCCTCTAAGGAGTATGGGTACTTCCCCTTCCATTTCTCCCCCCTTCTGCTTCCCCTCCCCCCTCCCCTGTGGTATTTGCATCTCAGGGAAGGAAGGGAAGCAATCCTCCCGCCCCCCCCTCCTGCATACGCCCCTTTTTTCAAATACACACCATTAAACAGGCAGCCTGCATGCATCATGTAGCTAGGAGGGGAAGGACACAGGGAAAGGCAAAGACTTCAGAAGGCACCCCACCACCACCAGGGTCACAGGCCGCCAGGGGGGAGGGGCGGGGGAAGTCAAATCAAGCGCGCGCGTGCGTTGGTGCGTCTAGTGGTCTTTATTTTAATGTGTGTCTGTGTCGCGCGACGCACATGGCCAAACGGAACAGTGGGGTGCGCAGGGGGGGAAAGAAAGGTACAGTCGTGTGTGTGTGTGTGCGCGCGTGTGTATGTGTGTGGCCCGCGTCCCCGCCGCGCTGGGAGGGGCGCGCGCGCGCGCGACAAGAAAGACCCTCACACACACGTCAATTAGGCCTGCTCAAGCTTGGCGCAAATGGCATTGGTGAACTCCGAGCACTTGGCCTTGCCGCCCAGGTCACCGGTGATGACCTGCCCCTCGGCGATGGTGGACAGGATGGCGTTCTCCACGCGGTTGGCATAATCCTCGAGCTTCATGTGACGGAGCATCATCACCGAGGACAGGAGCAGGGCAGTCGGGTTGGCCAGATCCTTGCCGGCAATATCCGGGGCAGTGCCATGGACCTGTGCCAATTTCAGAGCGATTGTGCACGGGGAGAGGGGGAACACAGGAAGACAGAGAGGGACGGTGTTAGCCATGGAGGAGAGAGTAGGGGAGGAAGCAGGGGGCGGGCATGAGCATGCGCGGACACAGCCCCACGGCCTCACAGCCACACAATCTACGCATGTGCAGCATGCACATATGAGCATGTACATGGAGGTGCAAAGGGAAGAGGGGGCGGCACGTACAGCCTCGAAGATGGCGCCGTCCTTGCCCTGGTTGCCAGAGGGAGTGAGACCGAGGCCACCGATCAGACCGGCGCACATGTCGGACATGATATCACCATAGAGGTTGGGCATGACCAGGACATCGAACTGCGAGGGGTCCTGAATGACATTCAGGCAGGCGCGATCCAGCAGGCACTCGCGGAACTCGATGTGCGGCCAGTTCTTGGCAACCTCACGGGCCTGCTCCAGGAACAGACCATCGGACATCTTCATGATGTTGGCCTTGTGGACCACGGTCACAGACTTGCGGTTGTTGTCGTGGGCATACTGGAAGGCGTACTCGCAAACGCGGCGCGAGGCATCCCGAGTGATGAGCTTGATGGACTGCACCACACCGCGGGTCACCTCGTGCTCGATGCCGGAGTACTCACCCTCGGTATTCTCACGGATGATGACAATGTCGACGCCATCATAGAGGGTCTTGTAGCCGTCGACGGAGCGGCAGGGGCGCACGTTGGCGTAGAGGTTGAAGGCGCTTTGGGGGAGAGGGGGAGAGTCAACATCAGGGCCATGGCGGCGGCCAGCGAGGGGGGGGGGGAAGGGGGAGAGAGAGAGAGAGAGAGAGCAGGCGGGCAGGCGGGCAGGCAGACAGTGCGTACCGACGGAGGGTGAGGTTCAGAGAAATGTGGCCCTTGCCGATGGGGGTAGCCAGAGGACCCTTAAGCCCGATGCCGGACTCACGCATGGACTCGAACAGGCGCTCGGGGAGCTTGTTCTTGCCGGTAACCGGGTCGCGGACGGGGGTCACATCGATGGTGTCCCAGCGAATGGGGACCTTGGCCGCGGCGAAAATGCGCTTGACGGAGTCGGCAATCTCGGGGCCGATACCGTCACCGGGGATCAGGGTAACGGGGCGGAGCTGAATGGGGGCGTCAGAGCGGGATGCGGGGGAGAGAGAGAGAGAGAGAGGCAGAGGGGGGGAGAAAGGAGGGGAGAACGGGCACGAAGCCAACAAGTCGACGAGAGAGAGAGAGAGAGCGAGGGAAGGAGGACGCACCGAGTCGTCGGAAACGGCAGTGCTGAAAGCAGCAGCCAGGGGGCGAGCCGGCTGGGCCGCCTGGAAGCGAGCCACAGAACGAGCAGCAAGGCCAGCAGAGCGAGACAGCATGGTGGAGGAAGAGGGGAGGGGAGAGAAGGGGAGCGACGACGAAAGCGGGGGGGGGCAGTCGGCGATCGTAGTGGGGTGGGAGTGGCGTGGTCTAGCTGGGCCAGGATGAGCCGGACTGGAATGCGGCGTCTGAAAAGAAAAAAAAAGGCGCCAGCCGGCGCGCCGGGGGGACCGGGAGCGGGCGACGCGGGGGCTGTCCACACTTCGGGCAAACGGCGCACACCCGGCTCGCAGCAGGGGGAGCGTCGTCTCCACCCTCCCCCCTCCAGGGGGCTTGCTGGTCCGCGGGTGCGCGGGCTCACGTATATACCCCGCCGGGAGCACGCGCGCCCGCACTCCCGCCGACCGTAGCCTTGTCCTCCAGGCCCTCCCCGACACATGAACGGAGAGGGGGCTCTCCCAAAGACGGAAGCATCTCCGCGCTCCCCCGGCCCTCCGTACGCAGCAAATGGACTCGCCCAGGACAGTTGGAAACTTTTCTGCCCCCGGTGTTTGGGAGACGTGCCATCAATGCCCCCCCCCCCTCGGTGGAGGGGCGGCAGCGGCGCAGGGCCGGCCTTTCACGAGGCGGGCCCGGGGCATAATCTAGCCTTCCGAGCACCGCATCGGGCTCTAGCGTCTTGATCGGGCGCTCTCACACGACTGACATGCATGTGCCCACCAATTCCTTGCCCCCGCGGCCCCCACGATCGCCAGCACGCCCCACGTTGTCCCCGGCCTGGCCCCTCCAAAGCTCATCTGCGTCTGGCTGCTCGGGTGTGTGCGCGCCAACCCGGCGCGAGCCCCCCGCCCCACCCCCCCCCCCCGCCCCGCCCCGCCCTGCCCTGCCCCCCGAGAGCGCCTCCTTCCAGCCTGGGACCAACAGCTGGTCGGCAGCCACATTTCGAGAGGGCCTTGCCCAGGTCCAAGGTCAATGCCAACGAACGGCACCAGAGCGAGCCCGAGGGAGGCCTCCCTCGGACTGCGGTGCACCCGGCAGCCCGCCACGTACCCACTGATAGTGTCCTCGTTGCCCCCCCGCCCCCCCCCCCCCCCCCCCTCCCCCCCCCCCCCCCCCCCAGGCAGTCGCCGGGATTCGACCCGCTCCCCACGCCTCGCCCAGAAAAGCCGAGGGTCTGCCGGTCTGTGTGGCCGTGTCCAGCTGGCAGGCGAGGGGCTTCCGGCCAGCCCACCGAACCCTCAAAAGCAGCTGGGACCAGGATGTGCCGTTCGTGGCACCTGCGAGTGTCTGTCTGCATCAGGCACCGGGGGGGGTGGAGGGGCGGGAACGGGGGCAGGCGCGCCGTCTTTTCAGGTTCCTCCGGCTAGGGTTGGACCGCGCGCCTCGCTGATCCCGGGCACCTGCCCCTCCCGCGAGGGTAGGTGTTTCCGCAAACATCCCCAAAATCTGCGGCTCGTGATCACATCACGCGCCACATAGCGCAATACACATCCGATAGACCGCCCTCTCGGCCTGGCCACCGATGCAATCCGTCAGATCTGTGCCGCGGCTTGCGGGCAGATTCCCCCGGGTCTCCCGCCTCTCGGCTCGGCCCGGCCCGGGCCGGCCCGGCCCGGCCGCCCCTGTCTCCTCTCACTCGCGGATATGCTTGTCCACAGTGGCCAGCGATCGACTTGTAGACGGGTTTCCAGGCTCCGGAGGCTGGCTCGAGTGGGTCTCGGCCTCTGTTGCTGCTGGTTGTTGTTTTTTTTATCTCGCACCACCGCCCCGTCCCCCTGCACTCACGGTCAGGCATGCCTATCGTCGGTCTTGCCCCTCCCCCTCCCCCTCCCCTCCCTACTGCCCCTTTCGCTCGGTCTCCTTCCTCCCATAGATTGCAAGAAGAAAAGAAAGAGAAAAAGTAAGAGAAATGAAGTCGCGCTTCTCTTCGCTCGATATCCGGATTCTCGTGAATGAGCTGCGATCCAAGTGCGTTGCGCTTTGCTCTTCCGAAAACCGCTGCCATGCCCATGGGTATAGTCATCCCTTGGCTTAGGGTCTTACGCCTCTCACCGTTGGTGCCCACTCCCCCGCGCTCCACAACCACCACCACCACCACCGCACACACACACACACACACACACACACACACACACAGGATCGTCGGATTCCGCGTCGCCAACATCTACGATGTCAACTCCAAAACCTACCTCTTCAAGCTTGTGCAGACGGGTGTGGCGGCCGTTGGCCAAGTAAACCAGCAAATTTTCCTGCTCTCGGAGTCCGGCAATCGCTTCCACACCACCGAGTATGACCGCGACCGGTCGCCGATGCCCAATGATTTTTCCATGAAGGTGCGCGCCTCCCATGGCCAACTCCGCCCCTCCCCTGCCCTCTCCCCAAGCTTGTCCTGACCCCAACAATTCGCCCCTTCCCCCTCCCCTCCTCCCTCCCTCTTCCCCATGTGCAGCTCCGCAAGCACATCCGGACACACCGGATTTCCGGCATCCGCCAGGTCGGCGTCGATCGCATTATCGAGATCAGCTTCACCAGCGGCTACCTGCTGTACTTTGAGTTCTTTGCCGGTGTGCGTGCCCTGCCCCCTCCTCCCGCTTGGTCCCCTGGCCTGTCCCCCGGGATTAGCGCTTCCTTCCCCTGGATCTCCCCCCCCCTCCTCTTCCCCGTTGTCTGACCCATCATGCTCCGCCTTTCGAATGGCCCTCCCCTCGGCTCCGCAGGGTAATATCATCCTCACCAACCCTGAGCACCAAATTCTGGCCCTCTTGCGTATGGCCAAGCCCGATGAGAACACCCGCTTTGCCGTGCGCGAGACCTACGACATCTCCCGGGCCCATGCCTCCCTGACTCCTGTGTCGAGGGACAGGTGCGCGCTTCCGCATGCCGGTCGGCTGCATGCCGGGGCACCTCCCCTTTGGGCCGGCCATCAGCTTGGCTAACCGCTCTGCCCCCCCCCCCCCCCCTGCAAAGCCTCATGGCCATTCTCCGGTCCGCCGGGCCGGACATCGAGCTGCGGCGGCTCCTGCTGGAGACACTTGCCTATGGGTCCTCGCTGATTGACCACTGCATCACCAAGGCCGGCCTGGAACCCAGCATGAATGTTGTCCGGTCTTTCGACATGTCGCCAGGTATCACACATGTCCCCCCTCTCGCCGATGCCCAAACCCCGGGTGCCTACACGGCCCGGCCGTCCATCCCGCGTGCTGACTCTGCCGTATGTCCTCCCTGCCTAGACTCGGCCAGCTTCGACAATCTGTTGGCTGCCCTGCAGGAGGCCAACACCTTTTTCGAGGGCAGCCAGGCCACCACACCCGGGTACATTTTCACCCGGGCCAACCCATCCCCCCGCAAGGACCCGGATGGGAACCTCATCGACGAGGAGCTGTACGTGCCATCTTCCTCTCCCTTTTTTTCTTCTTCTCGTGCCTCCCGTATCCGGCTCTTTTGCTGGTCTTCCCCATCGCCACCTAACCAACCGCGCCTCACCAATGGTGTGCATGCCGCTCTGACCTCCTTGCCGGGAAAAAAAATCAACAACAATAATCGCCCAGCTTCGAGAGCTTCGAGCCCTTCCTCTTCGAGCATCTGAAGGACCGCCCCCACCGGGTGTTCGACACCTTTGACAAGGCCCTGGACGAGTACTTCTCTCGCATCGATGGCCAGCGGGTGGATCAGCGCGCGGCCCGGGCGCAGCAGCAGTCCCTCAACCGCGTGGCCCACGTGCGCAAGGACCACGAGAACCGCCTTCAGGCACTGCGTGCGGCGCAAGTTTCCAATGTTGAGCGGGCCCGACTCATTGAGGCCAATGTGGACCTGGTTGACGCGGCCCGGCAGATTGTCCTGTCGGCCCTGGCATCCGGGTTCCAATGGTCGCAATTGTGGGAGCTGGTGGTCAGCCAGAAGGATCTCGGCCACCCGGTGGCCCGGTGCATTCATGCCCTGCGACTTGAGACCAGCCAGATCGACCTGTCCCTGCCGATCATCGAGGAGGAGGAGGAAGATGCCTACGACTCGGACGAGGACTTTGACAATGAGGAGGCCTCCACCCGGGGATCGAAGAAGCGCCGAATGGTGGTCACCATCGACCTCGGGGTGTCGGCTTTCGCCAATGCCCAGAATTACTACCAGCTGAAGAAGTCCTCCCATGAGAAGGAGCTCCGGACCATCAGTGCCTCCTCGAGGGCCATTCGCTCGACCGAGCGCCTGGTCCGCCAGGAGATCCAGCAGGTGCAAGTGGCGTCGGCGGTCAACCGCATGCGCAAGCCCTATTGGTTCGAGCGCTTTGCTTGGTTCATCTCCACCGAGAATTATCTGGTGATCGCGGGCCGCGATGCCCAGCAGAATGAAATCCTGGTCAAGCGCTATCTGCGTCCTGGCGATGCTTACATTCATGCGGACATCCACGGCGCCACGAGTGTCATCGTGAAGAACCCCTTCCCCGATCAGCCGGTGTCGCCGGTGACCTTGTCGCAGGCAGGGTGCGTCCATGCTGGTTTTCCTCCTTCTCTCTCTCTCTCTCTCTCTCTCCCTCTGCTTCTTTCTCCTGGGAAGCGCACAAGGGGCAAAGATTGTGACATGATCCGCGGTCCCCGGTGGTCTAACTCGCCTTTCCCCTCCTTCCCCTCCCCTCCCCCCCTCCCCTCGACTATGGTTGCATGTGCAGCACTATGGCCATTTGCCTGTCCAGCGCGTGGGATGCCAATATCGTTGTGTCGGCCTGGTGGGTCGAGGCCAACCAGGTGTCCAAGACGGCCCCCTCCGGCGAGTACCTGCCCACCGGGTCCTTTGTCATTCGTGGCAAGAAGAACTTCCTTCCCCCGGCTCGGCTTGAGATGGGCTTTGGGTATATGTTCCGTCTCGATGACGAGTCGGTCCCCCGTCACCGGGGCGAGCGCAAGATGAACCTCTCCAAGGATGACATCGAGGCCTATGCCTCCTCGGTGCAGCGCTACGGCCTCCAGGCAAGTGACACGTCTGCCGAGACACCCGCCTCCGAGTCGGTGGCCGAGAGCTCGGCCGAATCTTCCGCCGAGTTGGACCTGTCAAAGGTGGACTTCTCGAACATCACTGATGACACTGGCTTCGCGCGCGACGCCGACGCATCTCCCGAGGACAGCGACCAGGAGGCTGGCCAGGGCGCAGAGGCGGCGGACAGGGACTCGATTTCATCCGATGAGGACGAGGAGGCTGCCGAGGAGATCGCCGCTCCCTCTGCTCCGGAGCCCACCTCCTCCAAGAAGAAGCAGACGGCTGCCTCCAAGAAGAAGCAGGCTGCTGCTTCGAAGAAGCCCTCCCGTGAAGAATCCCCTCCCCCAGCGAAGGTATGTTTCCTTGTTTGCCACTTTTCCCCCGGGGCCCCTTTCCTTCATCGTCGGCCTTCAATCGAATACTCACCCCGGTGCCATTGGTTCCCACGGCTCCAGGTTCGCGGCAAGCATGGCAAGATGAAGAAGCTCAAGAAGAAGTATGCCGATCAGGATGACGAGGAGCGCGAATTGCGCATGGAACTTCTCGGGGTGCGTCTCCCTTGGTCTCTGTCTCTCTCTCTCTCTCTCTCTCTTCCGCACCTCCTCTCCCTGTACGGGCAGGCGCAGCCACGCCTTCACGCCAGTCTCTAATGTGCCTTCTTCCCTTCCCTCCTCTTCGTTGCTCTGTCCAGTCCACGAAGGGCGCCAACCAGAAGGCTGCCAAGCGCCAGGAAGAGATCGCCAAGCGCCAGGAGAAGGTGGACCGGGCCAATCGCCCGCGCGTCAAGGCCCCGGTCACCTCGCTGATGCATGTCCCCGCTAGCGGTGCCGATGGTGCCGAGAATGCCGCCGCCCCGGCGACCCTCACTGAGGAGCAAGAGCGTCAGGAGGTTCGCCAGCTGCTGGCCGCCGAGCAGATTCCCCTTGATGATGACGAGGAGGCAGAGCTGTCCACGTCGGTGCGTTGGTGGCTTTGTCCCCCCTCGGCCCCTCAATCCTGCTCACCGCATCTATTCCACACGTGCCTCTCCTTCACTCCCGAGCCCTCGCTTACCATGCGTCCCCCAAAATCGCACACTTGACAGTCCCTGATGGGCTATCTGGATGCCTTGACCGGTGTCCCCCATCCGGATGACATCCTCCTCTACGCGGTGCCCGTGTGCCTGCCGTACACCGTGGCTCTGACTTATAAGTTCAAGGTGAAGGTGACCCCTGGAAGCCTGAAGAAGGGGAAGGGTATGTGGCGCCTTCGTTTGGCGTCTTCTCTTTTGTTCCCCTCGGCCTCTCTCTCCCTCTGTCCCTTTCTCTCTCTCACACACACACACACACGACTGGATCTATCCCTCCATCCCCTCGGACCGCCTTATCCCCAGCTTGCAAGGCCACCCTCGATCTGGTGGAGAAACACCCTGACATGACGCGCCGTGAGCGGGACCTCCTGCGTGCGGTTCCCACAACCGAGGCCGTGGCGCAGATGATTGGCAAGGCCCGCATCAGCCCCGCTGCCGGCGATCGGAAGAAGTGATTGTTCATCACTGACGTTGGCTTGTACACACCCATTACAAGATACCCATCGTACCCCGTGGCTGGGCCTATTAATTTATTTTTTTGGAATACGCACGTGTGCGACTTCAACCCTACACCCTGCTTGCGAGGAGGAAGACACCACTACCACCACCACCACCACCACCACCACCACAAAGGAGATATTGAAGGTTGATTTTGCTTTTATTTTTCTTTCGCCCCTCCGCGCGAGGGGACAACAAAAAAGGGGGATGATGCGCGGGGGCAGAAGACGAGGGAATAGGCTGGATGCCAGACGGCTTGGGCGGGTGGGAGGGAGGGAGGGAGGTGGAATCTAGTTGGGGTCAGTGGGCAGGGAGGAAGGGATGGGCATGCTGTCCGCACACAAGTGCACAAGCGCGCGCATGCCCTCGCCTACCTTCCTCCCTCCCGAGGCCCCCTCCGCCCCTCTCTCACCGGCAGTCAAGGACGCGTGCCAGAATATGGAGGTTGTTAAGGGCCAAGGGGCTGGCATCAAGAACCTGGCCGGCCTTCTCGATGGCAACACTGGCGCGCGCCCACCGGTGGAGGGCGTACCGCCGCTCGTTGGGCGACCAGGCCTTCGTGAGAGCATAGGGGAAGCCTGGTGGTGGTGGTGGTGGTGGTGGTGTGTGAGGCATGTACCATGTTAGAGCTCGGCATCGGTGCCAAAAAGGGGGGAAAAGGTCCGGCAAGGGTGCCCGGGGGGGGGGGGGGGGGGGGGGG